GTTTGTGCTTAGTAGGTGTCAAATACTAACAACAGAGAGCTAATCTGAGCTTTACTACAGGCCAAGACCTGAGATTTTACAAGCTTTATCTCTTCTAATCTTTACAACCACTGATAAAATAAAGACTGTTATTGCCCCATTGGGTGATGAGGCAACTAAACTTTAGAAAGGTTAGGACTTCTGCAGAAGTGCTTGTGGCAGGGGCCGGGGAGATGGCTCAGTGGACTAAGTGCTTCCCTGGCAAGCTCAAGAGCCTGAGTTCAATCCCTGGTTCTGAAAAAAAAAAAAAAAAAAAAAAAAAAAAAGTGCTTGTGGCCAGTAAGCAGCAGAACGAGATCTTTAGATGATCTAGCTCTGTGGTACCCATTCACCACTAACTGTCCTTTCATCCCCAACAACTTTGCAGAATAGGTCCTCAAATGACTTGTGGGGACCTGAACTAGGTCAGGAGGCTGAGGTAGGAGGATCAAGATAAGTTTCCAGTATGTGTGTGGGGGGTGGGGGGATATTGAGGTCAATGGATTTTAGCCTAGGTTTTGGATTGTTGTTTTGTCGGAACCAGGGATTGAACTCAGGCCCTTGAATAGCCTAGGTTTTTGTTGTTGTTGTTGTTGTTTTGTGACCAGCTCAGCCTGCCCTGGGGTCAGGGCTGGCAAGGCATGTAGTGCCAGATCGAACTGCGGTCCTTGCACTTTACCTAAGCTTGCCTAAGCAGGTGCTTTAGGCTGCTAAACTATCTCATTGGCCCTGTTGTTTTAAACGGGGATTGAACTCAGGTCCTTGCACCTATGTCATGTCACTGAGCTATCTCCCCAGCTGGTTTTTGGCCTAAAACTGTACAGGGCAAGCATGCACACAAGGTGCTTTATTTTCACATACTCCCGACTTAACACATCTTTTTCATTGTGAAGACAGTTGGAACTGAGTGTTGTCATTGTTTATTAGTATATGTCGGAAATACCTGATGATTACATTCATCATGGGGAGTTGCTACATGTAATAACACATCTTAGCTCTTTTTACACCCTTTTCTCCACTCTGTCCACTTCCCTCCCTCTGTTTGTTCCCTTCCCATTTACAAAAAAAAAAAAAAAAAAAACTCCCTGTTTTGTTATAATTAAATGTATCTTTAATTGAGATAAAATTTGACATGAAATTCACCAGTTGGCCTTTTAAAACTATGCAGTTCAATAG